AAAAAAAAAAAAAAAAAGTTAACAAGGAAGGGGAGGTTTAGGACTGGAAGAGGACATTTACACAACCTTTATGTTTAACGAAATGACAGTTTAACTATATACATTCAATCAGTTTGTCTGGAAGCAGACTTATTGAACAGAATAACATCTGAGAAGGTCATAGGTTTGATTTCAAAAGTGGAGGGGGCGTTAATCAAGCCATCGAGTTACTGTGCTTTCCATAACACTGGCTATATAACAAAAAGAAAACAAAATCCTTTTTAGTTTATCGATGCTTGATACATCTGACAGATAACAGTGAAACTGCATTCAGAGTACTGTGCTGAATTCTAGCATGTTTTTCAGGAGAACATCAACAGTTAAATAATTTCTCAACCCTAAGAACAAAGCTGAGAAAGCCTTTTCCTGCTCCACATAAGTACATAAATATTCTTGGCCCAATTCTATGTGAGGTTTATCAGGAGATATTCACAAAAGGATGGGATGCTCCAACAACATAGGTTTACCGATTCTAGCTTTACGTCTGCAGAAGGGTTGTTCTTTGATCTCCTTGGCATCTGCTACAAGAGTTGATACCAAAATCTGAGACGCTGAGGGAAGAACAATCCATTGCTTCACATATTGTAGACGACATTTCAGCTTTGGTAATGGATCCATAGACTTCTCTGCCACCATTGATGGAGCCCACACAATCATATCCAAACATATTTGGTTATGCTGTTAACTCTGACCGTGCAACTCTGAATGCTGTCATCTGTATAGGATATGAATATACAGCTCCCCACATGGGCAATGTCCAGCCTTGCTTTGAACCCTTTTCCAAGCAAATTCAAAATTCTCAAATGCAGTATAGGAGGAGGACAACAAATGACTGAGTGAGCCAGTGACAGCTTGTGCAGGTGTTTGGGACCCACCCTCCAGGAGGTATCTGGCACTCAAGTGTATGTTGATGCTGGCATGGAGGCCTGAAATGAGACGGTAGAAAGCTCTCTTCTCCACACACTGACCTGAGAGAGACAAACATAGGAAGCTGTCAAAAAACAGCAACACTCCACTACAGCATTTCTCTGTCATCTTCAGGGAAAACATCAGCTCACCTTCCAGCCAGCTGTAGAAAGTTCTCGCTGGAAAGAAACCAAGATGTTGTTTATTGTCAGATAAAAATAAATAAATAAATACATACATAACCGACAGGCCAGATGAAGTGACTCATAGTGCAGTGCAACAGTAAAGACCTCATACCTTCACTTCCTGAGCTGCTGTGGAAGGTGTTGGGAAGTAATGGTCGCTTGACAGTATATGGTCTGTGAGGAGAAAATGAGGGGGGAGCATTTTTAGACTAAAGACCTCCGGTTAACATATTATCATTTATTTCCTAGATTATTCAGTTCAGATAAAACCTTTAAGCAGTAGTATACAGTCTGACCAGTCAAATGCATCAACTATGGTGAGTTATGTTGTCAGATTACTAGCCTTGTTGACTGGGGCTAAACCACATTCACATCTTCGCTTTTCTTTTTTTAGCCATACTAGTGCCGTGGCTCTAAGGAAGGCAATGTCAGTGAAAAGGTCAGTCTTACAGTTTGGTCCAAAGTGACACAATAATGAATAATGATAACCACGGCTCCAAACTGATGCTGCATTGTATGGAAACAAGTTTAATCCAGCTCAACTTGCTACACAACGTCATGTCATCGGACAAGGCGCTGTGTGATTTGCTGCACTGGGTCTTTTGCTGTGAGCTTTGGTACAACTAGGGTTGCCAACCCTCAAGGATTGGCTGGGAGACTCTTGAAACCAATTTAGACCTCCCAGAAAAATCTAAATTCAATCCAGGAGATTTTTGGCATTTTAAAAACACCGATTGCACATTTGGAAATAAAATTTAAGGGAATAATTTGAATGATAAGCAACTCGGGGGCACCACTAAGGTAAGAGAAACTGAAATTGCACAATTTTAGTTCAATTAATTTAGGCTACTTGTATTGAAAGAAAAAAAAATTCTATAGTATTGTCAGGATTTTGGATTCCCAGTCTTCTATCACGCTTTGTCATTTTGGGGTGTTGAGGTGCTGAAGGGAAAACCCCAGTATGAACCACTATGAATGCCATCATCCAAGTGGTTCTGTTTTCATATTATGATGATATGAAAAGGTCAGAGTTGTCTAACTTGAGGTTCCATCTCTTTCGATCAGTGACTGCTGGACTCAGTAAAGTCTATCTTTGCCACTTGATCACATAAAGCATCTTACATAAGACACAAAAAACTGAAAATCTAAAGATAATGTCATCCACTAAGCTGAGCTGTAACGGTTTTAAACTGTGTTTACTTGAAGCAGTTCTCCTCATAGATGCTGTTCCAGATCTGCCAAGCCTCTGCTCCTCTGTAGCCCGTGAAGCGCTCAGGGTTC